AAATTTTGATCCATTATTGTGTGTGTGTGTGTTGGTGTTGTTGTTGCTAATTGAATTGGTAAGGCAAAAAGTATATGAAGGGGTATATATAGTGGACCATTTTAACGTTAATATGTTAAAGTGAGGAGTTAAGTAAAGGGTCCATTTGATATTTTGGAACAAAAATCGAATATTTTATTGACTCAATTATTAGTGGTGTTGGTGATTTTTACACTGTACAACTTTAGGTCACTATCACTCCCAAATTAATTGTGTGATTAATTAGTTTTCCTCGGGGAAATCAATTTTAATTTGGTCACGTATGCCAATTAAACACCTCTTTCTTTTTTTCTGCTCCCCATTCAACAATTTTCTTCTTTAATTATTAATACCTCAAACCATATGAGATATCTAAAATGTCATTTCTAACTTAATTTTCAAATTATTAATAGTTGATACTTGATACTATCAGAATATGTTCGAAATTAAATTATTTAGGACATGTCTTTTGCACTGATGTTATGGCTAGTCTGATAGTGTGTGTTAAATGCTTGTTCATTCATAATCATATATTTCAAATTTTGATAGGAAATGCTTTTTTTTTCATTTTTCAATGTAAGTTCAGACTAATCGAACATCATAGATCAAGTAGTCTCAAACATTCAAGATGGCTTCATATTGAAAAGATAATTATTCTTAATTCAGTCACGTAGCTCAATAATAATGCTATTTAGGTTTGTCTACTTAGTGGGGAGGATATTATCTAGATTTGATCTTAAGATATTATAATCAACAAATAGGAAGCAAACAAACAAATAAATTTAAAAAATAACAAATTAATATTACTACGTTATTGCAATTTTTTTGTTTGGATACAACTGTCTTCTCTCAACTTCTAGAATATGAGTTTAAAGGATACCTCCAAAACCCTAGCAGCTATTTGTTTGTTTGAAAAGTTTACTTAACAAGGTAGGTTTTCCATGGCATGTCCCCCCCCCCCCCCCGCCCGCCCTCTTCTTTTTTTTTACAATAAAGTTTATATTGTGGGCGTACCATTCTTGAGAACCTAAGTTTCTTTTTCTTTTTCTTTATTATATTCTGTTTCTACAATTATCCCATATCCAAAGAGTGTAGTTCACAATTAATTTACTATATACTTCGTAATTTATGTAATGTAAATTGACTGAATATTAAATGTAACAAGTATATGAATACTTTGTAACATTTCAAAATTATTATTTTTTAGAGTTTTTGTCAAATAAGTAGAATCCATTACAAATAAAATGGTAGATAAACTTTACTGTAATAAGGATCTTATTATATTAATTAATCATATTTTTTTTCTATTATTAATGGTCCTGAAAAAATTAGGTACCAAAAAGTATGTAACCAAGTATACAAACCTTGTCTTTGCTTGCATGGCTAGCGCCTAGTTGACTAGAACTAGTTGTTGGTCAAGGTCTCACCCCAAGGTTTATTATAAAAAGCAAAAAGTTTTTTTTTTCCAGTTTTGAGACTCATAATAGATTCAATTATTGTTTTTTCTAGAATTTTGAATTTCGTAATCTTTAATTAAATATATGTTAAATGTATCAAAATGTCTTTTAATCTAATGGTATTAAACATATTATGTGGAAATTAAGTTGAAATTAAAAAATTTAGATGGAATAATAGGACCCCACAAACTTTAGATGTCCACTTTAGAAAAGGAGTATAGCTTTGATGGTTAATATTTTCTCTTTTGACTAATATAACACTACCGCAATAAATAAAGAATTTTTCAGCAATAATATAATTATTGTTATATTATATTTAGGAGCAATAACAAATATGAATATTTATAACCAACACATTCTATATAAATTCTGCTAAATATTTTAGCAACTCTAAATATAATTGCATTAGTTCAATTATCGCTAAATATTTTTACCGCTTAAAATTTTTTCATTGTCATTAAATTTCTCTTTTATTATAATTCATGTATGTATTTTGGTTGTGGTTTTATTTGCTAGATTTTTTAATGTTCAATGAACTCTATCTATCGAGAAGCTTGTAACCATTATAATTAGCTTAACAAACTTTTACAACTTACTACTTTTGAACAAAAATGTACTACCTAACTTAGAAAAAAGGAGTTCCAAATTATATTGTTTCATTTTAACTTGGAAGAGTTTCTCTTCTCATGCTTTTGTACTTCTTTTAATCTCTGAAAATGCTTTTTGATTCGAGTTTTTAATGGAGACATTGAAATTTTATTTGATAAATTCATGATAGGTTGACCAAATTAAATTTTTGGTTAATAAAGATAGATTAATATTTAAATTAAAATTATATACCTTAAATAAAGTCCAATTATATTTGAGTTAGTACTCTGTTAAGTTGACAAGATGAATCCAATTAGTCCAACCCATGTTCTGCAAGCCAAGGTTTGCTAGAATTATTTAGAGACATCCAAATCTTAACTCACGCCTATATAGAAGAATCTTCGTAAAGTCAAGAAGAAAAATTTTTAAAAAAAATTGTTAACACACAAAGAAGTCTTCGTCTCCATTTGATGAGCCGCAAGTTGTTAACGACAAATAAATATTGATACAAGAAATGTAACATAACAAAAAGTTGATCCATTGCATGTGTTCAATATTGTTTAATTTTAACTTGAAGACTTCTCATTTCTCTTGCTTTTAGTTTCCACTTTTTAAAGCTCTTAGAAGTACTCTCTTGAAACTTTTCAAAGTTAATAATTGGCCAAATTAAATAGGGTACCCATTGTTTTGGCCGTATTGATTGAAAAAGTTAAAATTATTTGAAATATTGACTTAATTGATTGAGTTACATACCTAATTCAACGTGCTTTGCATTTGCAATTGTACTTTAGCTTTAAGTTGAAGAATGAAAATTTTTAGAATCAATGGTTAATAAAATGAGTAATCTTCTTGTAAGGTTTGGACAATCCTCCTTTTTTGAATTAATTTTTTCGAGTTAAGCTCAAAATTTGTATTCTTTTAATATTTTGACCCCCCAAAAAAGAACTTTTTCCTTTTTTCTCCAAAATTGTTCTTTTACTCTCAAGTTTTCACTTCTCACCTCCTTTTATGTGTAATATAATTGTAAATTCGATTATTATTATAAAATTAATATAAGAGTAATGCAATAGTACTTATAAATTTTAAATCTTGCATTTGTCTCTGCCTTGGCTTATGTGGAGAGTGACTTCTTCATCACTCATTTACCCTCCAATTTGAACGGTATTACTTACAAGAAATTTTAACTATTAAAATTTTAACAGTTGCTTACAATAATATTTATAAATTTTAACCGTTGCTTACAAGTTTAAAAAAAATAAAATAAAAAAAAAATAAAAAATAAAATATATATATATATATATATATATGTTTTTTGGTGTCTTCTTTAAAAATTTCAATTAGTGCAACAAGCCAACAATCATTCTAATGAAGGATTAATGCAACACCATTTCAATATCATTATATCAATTATTAAATTCTTTAACCAGATATTATCATTTTACTTTATTTTATAGTTTTTCTTGAGAATCTCTATTGTTGACATTCATAATTCATAAGTATGTATATTCTTGTTTGTTTTGTTATTAAAATTTATTCAATTTAAATATCCTAACTAGAAAGTATGATTTCAATCTTATAAAAAAAATTGAAGATTTAAATAAATTCTAAAAAGGAGCCTTTAATAGATTTTTAACAAATAATAAAAATCTTCAATCAAAAACTATGGAAGGATGTTCTTCAAATGAACAAGTCACTAATAGAATTGAGTTAGATGATAATAACATTCAAGTAGAAAATCTAGAATAAGCTGGTGAAAAATGTGATATAATTCCTGAGAATCAAGAACTTCTAAATAATTTAAATAGGTGCATCCCTACAAATAAATATTACCAATTTTTTTTAAAAAAAAAAAAAACCTTGTTTTCCAACTTCCTTGTAGTTTCCTCCTTTCTACCAAACGCAATTGTTTACAACTAATAATATGATACAAAAAAAAAAAAATTAACAATAGCAAAAAGAAGTTCCATGTCATGTGTTCAATATTCATATTGTGTACCTTGAAGAGTTTCTTTTCTCTCTTACTTTTAATTTATTTGTACTTTTTGAAGCTTTGCAAAGTTATTTGCCAAATAATTTTGAAATTAGCTAAATACCTTCGATCAAATATGAGATAAAAATAATTTCAAATATTATTTTAAAATTATTATTCTTATCCATCGTATTAAATGAGTACTTTATTTATGACGGTGGCTTCTTGAGGGGCACGTTGACCAGTTTAATTTTGATGTCCTATTTTGACCAATTTTGATAATATAAGCTGTTCATATTTTTTGTGCATTTAGTTGATCTAACTAAAACCACTATAATTAATTCGATAAGAATACGTATTTTAAAAATGAAAATTGATGTAATATCACAAATAAATTTGATGGAATAAGTAATGCGTGGATTAATAAGTGCACTTTGCCATTTCCGTACAAATAGAACAAGCCTTTCAATTTTCCTATGACTCAAATACTATAGACGCATCTAGATTTGGAGTAACAGAGTTAAATTAACTAATGTTTAGTGTGAATTAAGATAGATTTTTTAATTTTTCTAACAATAAAATCAACATACTGAAAAATTACATAAAAAATATGATAAATCACAATAGTTAACAATTTAAAATATTTAGTAAAAACATGTCAAAAGAAATATTCTTTGACGTTATAAATTTTAACTAAGATAACAAATTGAAACATAGAGTAATTATTTACCGGTCAAAGATTCATTGTTTTATTTGGATTTTGTTGTATTTACACAACTTCTTTTGTGAAAAACTCAATTACATGAAGCAAATAAGCACACACTATCCACAACTTCCAATCCTCACAAGTTTTCTATATTTCTTTGTTTATATTATAAGCTACCCCACACAAAAGCAAAAAATCTAATAAAATTGCTTTTGCAAATGAAGAAAAACATGCATACATTGTATACTACTAACAATAACAATTATGAAGCAGAAAATGAAGATTGTCGTCTCAAATTTCTATAGAACTTTGAGATAAACTCATCAGCTTTCTCATCTACGTGATTATCCACTTCTTCCACCTCATCTCTCACCGGAAAAGGCGAGTCAGTAACCCTCAACTGTCTCCCAAACCCACGAAAATAATTATCAGGTGACGTTGTTTCACCCTTAATTATCTCCAATGCGGCTCTCATTACCGCCGCATTCATCACCACAATATCCTCTTCGGTAGCAGTGTGTTTTTTCATGTCCAAATTTGGGCTGCTAGTGCAGCTGAACTCATAATACTCATCCTCATGTGGAGGGCAAAATGGTAAATTACCACTCTCGACTTGGTCGGTGCGGCGGTTTTGGTTGTGGTGGTGGAAGTGGAACATGAGATTTTGGACCACAGCTTTGTAACTACTAATCTTGCTACGCTTCATCATTAATTTGATATCGAGCATTATTTTCTGCTTTGATATGCCTTTTCTTAACATGCATAACGCTACTCGAACAATTTTCCAAAACTTCTTTCCTACCACTACCAAATTTTGATCCATTTCTCTATATGTAAAATTGAAATTTGTAGTTTTTTTTTTTTGGTGTGTGTGAGAATTGTTGTTGTTGTTGCTAATTGAATTGGTAAGGCAAAAGTATATGAAGGGGTATATATAGTGGACCTTTTTAACGTTACAATGTTAAAGTGAACAGTTAAAGGAAAGGTGATATTTTGAAATAAAAATCGAATATTTTACTGACTCAATTATTAGTGGTGTTGGTGATTTGTGCATTACACAACTTTAGGTCAGTGTCACTCCCAAATTAATTATTTTTGTTCATAGAAATCAATTTTAATTTGGTCACGTATGTCCCAATTATTAAATGCCTCTTTCTTGTTTACTGCTCCCCAATGAACAGTTTTTCAAATGATCTTCGCTAGATATGTTTGTCTAGAGATAATAAGCTTTTTTTTTTTGTAAATTCTCTAATGCTTATAAAAATATTGGATACAATAACAATTAAATAATGTTGATAAAGATTTTACCATTTTTTATTAATGTACATATTTATTGTTACTAAAAGTTATTTTTGTCGTAATGTTTAGTACTTCGAACCATATGAAATCTCTAATAGAAATGATTACTAACTTAATTTTCAAATAATTGATAATACCAGAATATGCTCCGAATTAAATTATCTAGCACATGTCTTTTGCACCGATGATATATCTTCTGGTTTATAGTGTGTAGCTGTGTAGACCATTTAAGTTTTAATCATATATTATGAATTCAATTTATAAAAATGAAGTTGCATATTGATAAAATTGTTTTTTTTTTCTCTTTTCAATACAAATTTAAATAAGTCAAACATCAAAAAAAATATCAAATATCGAATAAAAAAATTAGCGATCAAACAAATCAACCTATTTAGGACTGTCTACTTCGTGGGGGGGATATTATCTAGATTTGATCTTAAGATATTATAATCAACAAAAAAAGGGAGCAAACAACCAAATAAATTTAAAAAATAACAAAATAATGTTACTACGTTATTGCAACTTTTTGTTTGGGTACATTTGTCTTTTCCCAACTTCTAGAATATGAGTTGAAAGGATACCTCCAAAACCCTAGCAGCTATTTGTATTATTGTAAAGTTTACTTAACAGGTAGGTTTTCTGCCACGTGTCCTTTAAAAAAAAAATTAACAATAAAGTTTATATTGTGGGGTACCAATCATGAGAACCTAAGCTTCTTTTACTTTTTTTCTTTATTATATTCTCTTTCTACAGTTATCCCATAATTTTACAGAGGCCCCATATTAAAAGAGTGTACTTCACGATATATTTACGGAGTAGCATATTGTAACTTTTTAATTTAAACTTTTAATATTTTCATATAAATAATTTCTAGAACTTTCAGATATTTTACACCTCTTTTTGGTTTATTTAATGTCCCACATTTTGTTCGTATATATTGTGATATCAGATATATATAAATTCGAATTCGAGATTTCTAATTAAGAATCGAATAATTTTATTACTGCACCATAGCACAAATATACAATCTTTGTCTTTTGCTTGCATGGCTAGCATCTAGCTGGATAGAACTAGTTGTTTGGTGAAGGTCTCACGCCAACGTTTATTTTAAAAATAAAAAGCAAAAAGTTTTTTAATTTTTTTAATTTTGAGACTCATATCAAATAGATTTAATGATCTTTTTTTTTCTTGTGTGTATTAATGCTTATTTATAGGACTAATATTAAATTATTAACAGTTTTTTTTTTTATTGTTGAAATTATTAATGTTTTACGGTAGTTCGATATTAGTATGATAGTATCTGCCAAAATATTATTACAAGTCGAAAGTAATTCTTACGATGCCTATCCAAACCTGCTTTATTTAGAAACTATATGCAAAGTCTCGTGATAAGAGAGAATTGTTAGGATGATAAGTACATTTTACTTTTAGATTATGAGCTCGAGTTATCAAGTGAGCAAAAACGAGGGATAAAAAAAAATACAAAGTCCCGTGCTTGCCCAACAAATTATACAAAAAGTGATTTTATGTATATCTTTTGTTTTAATTTGTGTGACATGTTTTTTTTAATCGTCATTTTTAAGATAACTATATATTTTCTTATTTGACAAATGTTTAATGGCGTTAAGTTGTTATTAACATTTTGCCTATGTTGAGTTTCACTTATTTGGCAAATTTTTTTTTATTGATAAGCGATTAAACATTCAAACTATCAATGAGAAAACATTCGTAAAGTATCTTTATAGTATAGACATTGAAATCCCAAAAATACGCTCGACATAAAGCTAACACGTTAACGAAAAAATTAAAATATTAAAAATACCTTCGACATAAAGCAGACACATCGACGAAGTATATAAAAGTAAGTTCCTAGAGGCAGGTCAAATCACGATTCTAGGGTTTCCTTCCATTGCATTTGGAGTCCTAACTTTATTACTAGTTAGGAATTAACGTGGGGAGAATAAAATGTTTATAGAGTCTCTTGCTTTCACGTTAAACAATGTACTTATTTTGACTAATATAATACGTATTAATTTGGTTTTTGGTTAATTTAGGCAAGATTTTTTAATGTTAATGAACTCTATCGATCGATCGAGAAGCTTGTAACCACTATAATTAGCTTAACAAATTTTCTCCAATCTTTCAAACACAGCTGTTTACGACAATTACTACTTTAGAACAAAAATGTACCTAACATAGAAAAAGGAGCTCCATGGCATGTTTGTTCCAAACTGTTCATTTTAACTTGAAGAAATTCTCTTCTCATGCTTTTGCTTTTGCACTTTTTTGAATTTCTTTTTGAAGATTTTTTGAGTTGTTATTGTCGTAGATATTGAAATTTTATTAGATAGATCGATTTATATTAAATCTTGGATCAAATATTAAATTCATGATATATATGTTGATCAAGTCAAATTTATGGTTAATAAATAGATTAATAAGTAATATTTAAGTTAGAATTATATGAGTTAAATGAAGTTGGAGAATCTTAGTAACTTGGTTGGTTGGTTGCATAAATTTTCACCATATTGGTGAGTGGTGAGGTTCAATTCCCACATTGTAATCCCCTCTCCATTTCAATTCCCCTACCCTCAATTTTTCAACAAAAAAAAAATGACTTAAGTGGTGACCTGCTAGTCTTTCGCATAGATAGAAGTGCAAGTTTCTATATTTACACGATTATGATCAAAATTTGGCTCCGCATTCATAATGAAATTTCAACAAGTATTTCATCAATTACAAAGCGAAGCTCTTGAGTTGGTGGTCGTGAAGAAAAGAATCAGATGATTATATCTTTTATAAAGATTGTAACCCCCACACAAATTATTAAAATTAAATATTATTAATTATTGCTATATTTCTTTTCAAGAACGAAAACTTTGTGCCTAGTGGAATCACATTTACCTCTATTCTCTTCTGAAGTTTAAGAGTTTATCTAAAGAAGGTCAACTCAAAATCCGTATCAGCAAGAACTATTGAACTATTCAAAACTTGATCAAATAGGTTCAAGATTAGAATGCTCGAATTAAAATTGGAAAAGCTAAAAATTTAATCAAATTGTGGAAAATTAAAATTAAGTGTCAATATTAACAAAATTTATTTAGTACATACCTAAACTTTATATAATGAGTTAAGTCGAGAAGCTTCTAAACATTTTAGTCACAATATTTTCACATAGTTTTGCCATTTGTTTTGCTACAAATGAAATAAAACAGAAACATCATCCGTACCATTTTAGCTTTTAAGTTAAAGGGACACTTCACTTATATAGCTCATACACTATTTATTTTATAGCCACTCATCATCACTTGGAACCTTTTGTTTGAACCCATCAGAGTTTGCACACGTATGGACTTCACTCCACATCTTCTTGCATTGTCATTGTCGAAAAATAGATGAATGGGAGTATAGGGAAAGTGTGGGGGTGCAGTAGCCGACTTAGGATTTGCATGAAGGGGATTTAAAAAAATATATAAATATAATGCTTGGGATTTAAACTTGAAATCTCAAGGTAAATTTTGAACCGCTTCAACCACTTAGCCAACCTCTAATCTTACATTCAATAGATTAAACATATATATACCTTATATACAATAATTGTTTTGCCGGGGAGCTGGAATCCCCTCGCTACTCCCTAGATCTGCCCTTGGTGGGATTTGGGGGGAGGTGATATTGTAATGAGTATGTAAGTTTGAATTGTATGTGACTAACTTATTTAAAAGTTTTAAGTTTTAAATTGGAGAAAATCGAGATCACATTGTCATATACTTGATTATGTAACCGACTTTTTCGTATGAGCTTGATTCTTAATTACCATGTGGAATTATGTGACCAACTCATCTAAAACCTTAAAATATTAGAAAAAGATATATTTTTATTTATTTAATTGTATCTTAGAAACAAATGTATCTTTTTATTTAATTTATTTATTGCCTTTTTCTCGTCTTAGCTTTGCTTTACTTATTGTGAACTCCCATAAAAATTCATCCTTTATATGTATGATTGGTGGCACTTGGAAGATCTGTCTCCTTCCTATATTTCTCCACTCCTTTTCCTTTAATTTCTCTTGCTTTTTTTTTCTTTCTTTTTACTATATATTCATGAGATTATCATAAGAGATTAATAACCTCCACAAAATTGATCAGAAAGTTGAACCAATACAAAAAATTGACCTCCAATAAATAAAGCAACTTGAATGGACTTGGCATTTCCTATATGTGCCTTTTATCATGTGTTTAGTTGTGATATGTGGTAATAAGGGAAAGATATATAGACAATCTCAAAAACAAATGGTTTGTATAGAAAGTAAGGCCACTTTGGATCATAGGTGTAGTCTCAATCAATACTTATTTGCCAATTTCATAAAAAATGAAATAGTCTAATCTATCTTTTGATAGGAATTTGAAGATCTACAAAATCCCTTTTTGCATTAATTAGAATGATAACGACCTTCACTAATATTATTACTTGAAGAAACTACCCCATAATAAGCTTATCACTTTTGTCCTGGTACATGCTTTAGTTAAAAATACTTCATTCGTTAAATTTTGAGGTTA